TTCCTGCTCTTGCTCCAACAGCACAGCCCTTTCTTTGCGGAGCAGCTGACGGCTTTCCAGGTGTGGCTGACCATGGGTGTGGAGAACCGCAACCCCCCGGAGCAGCTCCCCATCGTCCTGCAGGTGAGCAGCCGGGGCGGGGGGATCGGCCGCAGCTGACACCCTGCGTTTGTGCGCGCCTCTCCCTGCCCCCCGAGTGCTCTGCTATCAGCCAGATGGCGTTTGGGTACATAAATTACGTGGGCTCCTTCAGGATTAATTAGAGCTGATTGCATGTTTGCTAGACCTGTGCAGATGAAGACAAAGTGCTTTTCTTCCCCCATGCCTTCACCCTCCGTTGAGCAAAACTTCCCTCTGTAGTCCGTTTGCAGCTTCAACAGTATCAGGCTCTGCTGCCTCCTCTTTTGCTCCGAAGTAGCAAGACTGCTTCACAGAGCAGCACATCTTTGTTGTTTTCTCCTTTAGTATCTCCTCTTATATGCCAGCTCTGCCAGGCAGAGACTTTATCTTCTCTCTGCTTTCAGCAAGTGGCAGTTACTGCAGTCTAAATAGTTTGGAAATGGCTTCTTTATCTGGTACAGCCTGGAAAGCATTCCCTTTAATGTGATGCTGAAATTTTGCTGCAAGAACATAGACATAAGTCTCTGAAGACCGTGCCTGGAAGCAATGTAGACTTCTGGTAGGCATTTGCTCAGACTAGACAAAGTTCATATGTATAAAGGAGAAGTAAATCTAGGAGAAACATAACACCTCATTTCAAATAATATTTTATGGCAAGGCACATATTACAATTGTCACCTGCTCTTGCCTTCTCCTCCCCAGGAGTTTGTATTGACAGAAATATAAACCCTCGTCAAGGTAGCTGTGGTCTCTTCTCTACCAGGCAGCAAAAGTCTTTCCGTTTAAAGGAGCATGGTTCCAGTCACACGGATACGTGATTTCTTTCACTAAATGCGGGAAGACTCACCTTACCTCTTGTTAGCCCCCGGCTTGTTTTGTGACTGACAGCACCATCAATCTCTGTAAGACCAAATCTTAATTTCCCTGAGCCTCCCAAGCCTTGAGAGATCAGTTAGATAAACAGATGTCTGCTTTATCTCTGTCACTGCAATGGGAGAAGGCAGGCTTCTACTCCAGCACCAACTTTGCTGCTTTCCAGTGAATTATTTGGCACCAGAGGGCTCTGCAGGTAGCTTAACCTTGCAGTGGAATTGAGAGGTCACCTGGCAAAGGAGCCTGCTTTCCTTCCTAGAGCAAAAATGAGCTAGGACAACATAATTATAATTAAAGCATATTAATTGTATAGTGGAGTAAGATGGCTTGTTAGCAGGTTTGAGATACCTTGAATCAGAGACCAGCTGATTAAGAGAGGGAAGGAAGTGCATTTCAGCCCCCTTTTGAGTATCTTTTTGCTTGGACCCCTTGGGAGTGGTTAGACTATGCTGCTGTAGCCTAACAAGGGTTGATTCTGTTTTCCCATTTTCGATGTGCTCCTGGGGAAAGAAGGTATTTGAGTGCCTGGGGCATGGTGCCAGCCATGCAAAGCTTGGATTTGTCAAGGACAGGGAGACAGTCCTTTGTAAATGGCCTTTTAGTTGACTTCAAGAAGTTGCTTTCCGTTTTGAATTCTTGCTGTGCATGGGGCAGATCAGACACAGGTGGCTTCCTGGTGCAGGAGGAAGAGAGAGAAGTCATCAAAGAGAAGTTAGCATATGCACAGCCTGAACCAGCCTGGGTAGCAGATGCTTGATCCTTGGGGAGGTACCTCCTGCCACGCCAGCGCCAGCGCACGTAGACAAGAGCAGCACTTGCTCCACAGAAAGCCCTGGGGAGACCGCTGCTGCAGTCCCCTTCTTCCGTCCTGCATCTGTTAGGATATTCCTGCGAAAATGTGGACTGTTACTTCTGAGTTATCCTCTTGTGTCCTGGTTAATCTCTGACTTGCACGTGTGGACATAATTAGCTTCCCTATCTTCTGCTTAGGACCAATGATGGACAAATGTCAGGGAGGGATGTGGTGCAGTGCTGTGTGCGTACACTGGCACAGTGTAGCAATTTCATAATTTCACTAAAAGTTTGTAAATTGTGCCTAGGCTCCCCGCATCCTCAGCCAATTCTCTAGAATTTGTGTCAGTTTATTGTGCAAATCAGTTTGGGAAGTGGGAATATAAGAACCTGAGAGAGACTGATGGCTTTTTTTTGTTTTGAAAATAATGCAACGGAGCTTTTAAAATAAGACGTGATTTGATTTGGTTAAAGGTTCTTGTGGAATGTTAGCGGTGTTGAGGTGTGGTTTTGTATCTTCACCTGGAAATCCTTTTCAATTACATCCATTTTTTTTTCCGAGCTACAACAGAATTTGTGGATTTACTTGGGTTTTTGCTGAAGGTCAGATAGTAACAGCACTGTCAAATCTGTATGCCTCCCGTGTCTGTGGAAGCACCCTGTGCCTAACGTGTTCCTGTCTTGTTTCAGCTGCCCCAGCTTCTCCCATGCCCTGGTTTCTATTACTGCTTTAATCTCAAACAGCTGCCCCCGTTACTCCTGTGCTGGGCATCTTTAAAGCACATTGTTAATCGTGCCAAGTTCTGTAGTAAGTTTATGGAATAGGCTGGTGCCAACTAGGGCAGGATGAACAAAATCCTTTCTCTTAGACCTGTCCCGAGGTCTGAGCTCCGCTATTCGGAGGTGAAACGCCCTCTCCCTTGTAACCATCTTTTTCTACTGGACTTTCTCTGCACAACTTCAGTATCTAGTATCAGTCATCCGTAGTATGAGGCATGAGCCAAGTAATTTAGTTATTCTTCAATATTAAACATGAAAAATAATTTAATTTGAATACGCAGTGTGGAAAAACACCGAGAAGGGGATGGAATTGGGGAGCTAAATCAACGAGTCTTTCCCTGAGACCCATGCTGAGGGATGTTACTCAATTTAAACTGAGGATTAAACGTTGCATTCCAATATCTTACATCTGTTAAGGAGATTAAGAACTGAAAGTCTGTCTGTTAATATTTCACACCAGGGTAGGTATAAGCCAGTAAACTACCACCTCATTATCGTTGTCAGATTCCGGTTTAATGAGATTTTTATTAACGACTAATGTGACCTTTTGCTTCCCTCTTAAGTCTCTTATATCGATTTGTCAAGGAAAGCAAAGCCTCTTTTTCTGCTTCTGAGCTGTTTTGAGTAATAGGAGGCTGGGCCTCTTGCTCACCTTTGAATCCTTCCTGCAGATACAATCATGTTCCCGCTTTACTGGGGAAAGGCGGGTGGTACGATGAGAATATCCGAAATCCATAGGGGCTGCTTCCATCTAGCAGAGCTGCGCTGCATAGGAACCACCGTGCTTGAGGGAAAAATTAGCAGAGAGAACAAGCGGAGCAATGACGTGGAGAGCGAGGATAACTGCATTCCTAGGAAGACATCTGCGTGTGTCTGCAGAAACTTCGTGAAGGAGAGCGTTATCAGGAGGGGCAGTAACCCACTGGGGACGCTGCGCAGCGGGGGGAATGTTTTCAGCAGTCGGGGTTTGTCCTCCAGCTTTTTCATTCAGACCACGGTTTGTTCAAAGTCACGTAATGATCCTGAGGTCCTCTTATATTTGCTCTGCAGTCACAAGGATTTTTGTTCTTTTTAGCAATAACCGTTTTCCCTCTCCTCTGCAGGTGCTGCTGAGCCAGGTACATCGGCTGCGAGCTCTTGACTTGCTGGGAAGATTTTTGGACCTGGGTCCCTGGGCGGTTAGCTTGGTGCGTGGATGTTGCATATTGTCTTGTACAAGTCTGCTTTATCTCAGTATAGGCGATAAATACAAATGATGATTTATTGGAAGGAAGATGTGGAAGATATCCCCCAGATTTAACAAATGACCAGTGTTTTATGTGTTCATGTGTATGAAATGGAGCAAGCATCCCTAAAAGAAAAGTGGTTTGTATTAATCAAAAAGGCTGAATAGCTGTTCGTTTGTTATTACAACAAAGAGGAGTTCCTTGGGAGTAGTTTAGTGTAAAATATCGTAAGGGACAAAACAGGAGGAAATATCTGGGACAAATAAGAAGCTTTGTCATGTAAAATAAATTTAAAAAAATAGCACATATGTTTATCATCTGTTCTCTCGGCTTACTGGCTGCATCGTTTTCTTCTCTTCCTTTATCTGTTGGGTCTCTGGATTTTATAAGCTCTTCTCAGAATGTGGCAGCTGCCTTCTGCATTTTGGAAAGTGGCTAGCACAGTGCAGATAAATAAGAATTAAACAGAGGAGCAGTTTAAGACACTCTTGTAAATGGAGCTCTTTGAGGGTAAAAGTGATGAAGGCGAACCCCCAGCTGGTTGTGGGGTAGCGCAGTGATGGGACTTTTTAGTGGTTTCTTTACTTTCCTCCTTCATCTCAGCCAAGACTCCCTTCTGCGTGCCTTCGCAGACAGCTGAGCCCTCAGTGGTAGGAAGAAAGTACGTACTAAAGGAGATTTTAAGACCTCTGGGTTATAAACTTCTACGAGGATCAAAACGTAGCTGCAGGTCAGCCGCAGCGGCCTTTGCTCCGGCCGTCACGGCTGTATAAACCTCGCTGGCCCTTTGGGTGATGCTGAGCGGCTGCCAGGCTGTGCGGGCCGTAACGCCCCGGGAGCCCGGCGCTGCAGGTGCAGTCCCGCGCCATACGTCCTCTGGGCGTTGTGCTGTGGCAAAGATACCCGCAGCCGCGGCGGGGTTCTCAAAGATTTGACGTGTTGCGTGTCCTCCTGTGAGGATAGTCTCTAATCCCACGGAAGAGGCTTGGTAAAAAGCCTGTGTCGGGCGAGAGGCCTATTTAATTTCCAGTGGGAAGCCTGTAATTATTGAGCTTTTGCAATATGTTTACTTGTGAGAGCAAACGGCCCCATCCGAGGAGAGCGCAACGTATCATGAAGTATAAAATAGCGCAGGCTGTAACGAGTAGAAGCTAGTGCTAGATTAACTCTAAGTCTCCGTGGACCAAATGAGTCTGAAAATATCTGGTGACATCCGAGATTAAAATGAGCGATAGACAAATACACAGGGATCCCCTTTCTACTAGAAGTGTACGAAATCGTTTTCTGCCAGATTTCTCATCTGTGTCGTTAAATGTGCTGCGTCTTCGCGGAGCGCGGCGCCGCCTCGGCGGCAGAGCTGAGCCGTTCACGAGGGTTTGCTCTTCTCTCTGGCTCCCCAGGCCCTGTCTGTTGGCATTTTCCCGTATGTGCTGAAGCTACTTCAAAGTTCAGCTCGCGAGCTGAGACCACTCCTTGTCTTCATCTGGGCCAAAATTCTGGCAGTGGACAGTGTGAGTACTTCTGAACCTGGCTGGTTTTCTTTTGGGTTTCAGCAATGTGCCTTCCCCCCCCGCCCCCCGTTTGCTTTGTCCGGTTGCTTTAGACTTGAGACTTTCTCCTGAGGTACCTCAAAAAGCCACTGTGTTGCCTGGAGGCCCGCATATTATCTCATTAATTTATCTGACGTGTATGAAAGCCAGCTCCTGAAACTCTGTGAACGGAAACCCCCGCTGAGGTGCTGACACCGAGCAGGCTGGCTGCCCACCTCGTGCCTGCGCGGGAGGAAAGCGGGTTTGCTCTGTCCATCGCTGCTGCAATGTCACCTTAACATCACCGTTCCTAGCTCCCCTTTGGTTCCAGGCTGTAGGTGCTCTAGGTAAAAGCCATCAGATCTCACTGGTTGCATCTTTGTTGGGGAAGAGAATGCCTTGCTTGCTGAAGGGGCTTAAAACGCGCTCGTACCTCCGTCACGTATTCCCAGGTGAGAGCACGCGTGCGCGCGCTCGTGCTCTCCCTCAGTTTGTTCACTCTAGGTTGTTATCAAACTTGGTTTGTTCAAGACCATTCCCGTCATTCCTCGGAACAGGCTGTGGGTAGTCTTCAGACAGCATTTTTCTAGAAATAAAGCAGAGGTAGTTTTTGGAGACTTCTAAGCCCTGCTCCAAGTCTAATGCATGTGCTGATGCACTGAAGGTGGCTGCCACAGGAGCGTTTGCCTCCTGCAGAAGAGAGGTTGCTCCTCGTACTGGGTCCATGATTCCGATCTTCTCTACAATATTTTGGCACCTTTAGGGATAAGTTTTAAAAACTGAGCCCTGATTTTTAAAGATGGCCTTAAACCAGAGCTCTGGCTTGTGGGGTTTTTAATAAATAATTAAGCAGGTAAGTAATTGTAGATAAATTTGTATAGTCATATATATGACTGCGTGGTTTGTGGGTGCAGTAAGTTGTGGAACGTAAAATTATTAGGAGCTGTGCGCACAGTTAATTGCGGGCGCGGTAATAAGCCGATATGAAATTGTCTGAACTGCTTGTAGAAGTTGGATCTTGCCTGTTTGGGGGTTTATTTTTGTTATATCTCTTCCATTTCGGTATGGAGAATAATATTGAATTTGTTAGAATTTTTCCCCACTGTTGATCTAGCATTGTCAGGTTTAGTTTTATAAATATATTTTCATTAACATCCTAAGAGGATTTTGGAAAGCAAAGAAAATGAAAACTATTCATCTTAAAGCTACTCTTAAAATGCTTATTTTTGATGCATGCCTCTCCGTGGCTGACGCTTCAGCCCCAGGTACGTTTCGGAGTAGGCTCATGTATAATTTACACGGAGCGTCGCGCCATCCTTCACTGTCTCTGGTGGTGAAGCCAGTCTGAGAGGGCTCTCCGCCCCTAACGCTCTCCTGCCACCATCAGTATTGCTCCCATGCTCTGTTTCATTGCCCCACTCCTTTGGTAGGCTGTGCTTTGAAACAAAACGACAGCAAAAATACTCTGAAATTTTGTACTGCGATTTCTTTCTGCTGTTTCGTTCACTAGCTCCCCAAACAAGCGGTGCAGGCGAGAAGGGAGGAGAGGGCAACTTCAGCAGGGAAGTGCAAGGAACGCTGCCGAGGGAGGGGACGGGCAGTGCTCGAGTTGTCGCCATAAAGGGAACAAATACGTCGTCATGTCCAAAGCTAGAAGAACACTTTCTTGTTATACGCTAAATGTCAATACAGACATCTCTTTTCCCTCCTCTGCTGACACAAGGTTTGGCCGTGTATGTTTGAAACAAATGCAATTTCAAACAAAGTTTAACAAAAACCAGTATCGCAGCGTGGATGCTGTGTGGATTCCAAGTTCTCTAACGCTAGAGCCTGCTCCGCTTCCCCAGCCCTCTGCGTTTCCAGAGGGTAAGTTTGTCTAAAGGAACCAGCGGCATCTGCGTGCCCCAGGACGAGAGGACGGTCTGTTGGTGTTTCGGTTGATGCAGCGATGCGGCAGTTTGACCCATCTGAGCCGTGGAGAGCGCGCTACGCTCGTGTCAGCGTCCTTTTCACCAAGACAGCCCCTCGTAAGGCTCGGAGGGGGGTGGCAGCTGCAGGGGCATGCTCTGCGTGAAGGCAGGCAGGAAATGCTGGCCGCGGGGTAGGTGCAGTAACACTGTCGGGCTGCACGGAATCGCCGTAGCGCTAGTGCTGCGCGTGGCTCTGAGGGTGCGATCCTCTGCCTGCGCCGGGCGTGCGTCTGCCTGGCTCGGCTGGCTCGAGGGGGTGCTGCCTCCGTCACCCGGGCAGAAGCCGTGGCCCTCACGTATGAGAGTGTGTTTATTTTCAAACGCTCTGCCAGATAATCCTCGCCCTCGCAATAATTGTACGGCGCTGTCTCTCTCCTTCATCTGCTGTCCCCTGTACGTGTATTTTATTTGGTTTCAGGAGACTGTAGCTGATGAAATTACTTTCATTAGGACTGGAGTTGAGCTGATTGCTCGTTCCTCTTTGCATTTGGATGTGACTGAGAACAAGTTCTATCAGACTTGCTAGTGCCCTGGGGAGCAGAATAACCTGCTAAGACAATATTTCTGCTCTGTCCCTCCCTCTCTTTGGGCAGGGAGGCAGGAGGAAGGTGTTCTGCCATGAGACGGCGGTGTAGTATGCCATGTGTCCGTTCAGACGGTACCTTCGGTCAGCACGGTATGCTGTGAAGAATTGTGTTTTGTCATAAAAACTACAGGATAAATCAAGGGTATTATAGAAACATTGTACCTCAAACAGAATTGTTCGTGTGTGACATATAGGTGTCCCTAGTAAACATTGGAATATTTAGATTAATCTGCTTCAATTCCATGTGTAATCAGATGATTTTTCGTAGGAGATTCATTGAGGACTCTAGTCATCTTTGCCTGAAGCCTGCTGGAGTATTTCTAGACAATCCCCCTGCAGAGCTGCAGGGCAAGTGATGGTTCAGAGTTGCCTTCTGTAGGTACCTGGCAGGGACAGGTTGGTGTAGGAGTAGCGTTGTGTGCTGCCATGTGGAGATGGCTATAACACTTGCAAATACAGCTTAGGTCAAGAATTCGCTACCTGCTACACTGATAGTGTTTGGTAAACAGCACCTTCTAAATCTTAAATACTTGAATTTAAAGGGAAAAAAATCCCCCCCGCCTGTATTAAGGATTATAATCAGGAATTTAAGCATGACCAAAAAACCCTGCACATTAAACAGTACTGAAAATGTGGATACTGCTAAAAGGGAACATTGAAAAAGAGCTCTTACCACTCCAAAGAACTGGCTGAAGATAATAGAAAACAAACATTTCTCAAGCTTTTTAAAGCAGTGGAGTGATGTAAGTAGTATGCTTACTCTCCAGATGTGTCCTTTGTTAGCAGGATTGTGACTACCGTTTCTCGTCTCAGGAGTAACACAAATACTCAAGTTAAGTGTTCCCTGAGGATAATTTGGTAACGCCACCCACCGCGGGAGCGAGGGTTGACCGACCAGCGTGAGCGCCCGGACACCCCTGAGCTGTGGCAGTGCTGCTGTATTCCAGGCACTCGTGAGATTTTTAGGGATAAATTACGTAGCATGTCACGTTGAGGAGAAAGAGGAGATCTGTGCTCTAGTCCCTCCCCAGCACGGGGAACTTTGTATTTTATGTAAGTTCTGAACTTTCACACCAAGCCTGCAGCTTGTTTTGGTCCCGTTGTATTATTATTCACAAGTGTAGCTGCTTATTCCTTGAGGAGGAGGTGTTACTGGTGCTGGCTTTCCACGCCGTTCACAGGAGCTAAGCGGGGAGGGTTTGAGCATGTGTGCTGGCTTTACAGCCATTGCCTCCCTCCCTCGAGCCTGGGTATTTGGGTAACGGTGGCAGCACGATAAATGCAGTGCGAAGGTGGGCAGCCTTCTCTTTGTTGCTGTCTGTTTGCCTATGTTATAGCACAGAGATTTGGTTTTTGTAAGGAACAGTAAGTATTCACACTGAGAATGAAAAGGGGGGGAAAAAAGGAAGCTGTTTTTTTGTGCAGCATTACACAGAAGTCAGGAAAGCCTCTCGTAGCTGCAGCCTGGCATCAAGCCATTCCCTCTGCTCTTTGGTCTGCCAAAACCAGCGTCTTTACTCCCTTCAGCAATAAAATATTCTCTTGCATCTCTGTCTTGCCATCTCCTCTGCTTTCAACAATTAGTTCCCTCCTTCACCTTCTACGCCTGATAAAAAATACATGATCCCGTCTCTGGCACGAAGCAGACAACAGAACCACAGTCACGGGGGAAGCTGATTGCCAAGTCAGTATTTCCTCGCTTAAATTTTCACTTTTGTAATATGTATTCTTTCGGTTTGACCCTAATATGTCAACCTGACGCCGGAGTTGGTATGTTAGCAAAAACATGGTGTGTGCCACGTGCTTGGTTGCTGATACTACCCCAGGAAAACCTGTGTTATCCTCCTTACAGGCTTTTAAAGACAGCGGAGTTGCTCTGCAGTTTTTGACTGCGTGTAGCAGGAGATCATGCTGCTATGTGCTGCGGTTGTACCAAGTTAATACACATTAGCACTTGACCAAATAATACAGCGATTAGTCTCATTTGTGTAGATGAGTTAAAATCTTCTTGTCAAACTCTAGGCGGGGGATTGGGCAGAATATAAAGGATGAATATGTAAAGAACGAATAATTCCTCCTCCACCCCCCACCCTTGCAGATTTACTGGTAATCGCTCGGTGATCTGGGTCACTGTAAGAGAGACATGTGCTAGGTTTCTTGCGTGCGACGGTCTCCAAGAGCTGCCCTGCCTGGGGAAGATGGTGCTTTAACATTCACAAGGCGCTCGCTCTCGCATCCCGGCTGCCAGGCTGAGCTGGAAAATCAGCTCCAGTGGTAGAGAAAGAGCCGGGGAGGACTGCGCTATCAAACTGCCCCTTCTGTGATCGTGGGGAAGGGGCTGTGCCTGTTAAAGAGGGGTCACGCACCAGGCTCGCCCCAAAACTTCCCTAGCTCTGCAGTCCCGGGGGTAAGACCGGGGGGGTGAGGAGGGACCCCAAGAGCATCCGCAGCAGCCTTGCGCTTGGCAGCCGGGAGCGCCCGCCTACGTCTGAACGTGCAGCAGGAGCTGCTGCTTGACTCGGGGTAGCGGGCGTGCGAGCGTAGTGTGCTCCGAGGGGGAAGGTCGGGCGCTGCCTCCCTGCCTGGGAAGCGTTACAGACCTGAGCAGGATCTGTCACTGCTTACGGGGACATCTCGCTGTACCACTAGAAGGTAGCGAGCAGCAATCAGCAAACCTGATCTATGGTAAGCTAATTGCCTTGACGTGGGGTTGGAAATGAAGTGGCGAACTGGACTAGGGGCTTGTAGAAGATCTAATCTTACGTAATTTTTATTCTGTTAAATGTAAAAAAAAAAGAGAAAAAAATTAATCATAAGTAATGATATATAATAATCCTCCTCGGTTTTGCCTTTGGTGGCTCTTAAATAGTGCTGAAGGTTTAATGTGGGACAGAGATGTCAAATTTAACTCTTCTCCTGAGCAGGAGGTCACATTTTCAGCTACTGCTTCTGTCGTGTTGGAGGGAGGCAGAGGGTTCCTCGCTTTAGACGCGGCCCTTCTGCTGCGGGGGTCTTTGGGTGCGGCCCTGATGGAGGGCTTGCGCTTTATTTTGCTTCTCAAATGAAAACACGATTTGAGGGAAATTATTAAGATATGAAATATTGATACATCATTGGAGGAAAAAGTATTTTTATGTAATTGTACTCATTGTGTTTTTCTTTGTCTCATTTTTCAGTCATGCCAAGCCGACCTCGTGAAGGACAACGGTCACAAGTATTTCCTTTCAGTTTTGGCAGATCCTTATATGCCGGTAAGGACAACTCATCTTTATTCAGGCTCTTCTAGCGTTTCCTTAGCTTGTCTTAGCTTATCTGTTGCTGTTCTGACGCAGCTGGTGCTAACGTAGGACTGCCTCCCGCCTCCGTCTCCTGCGACACCCGCTGCTCTGCTGGAGTCGTGGCTGAGCTGGGGAGTCAGTGACCAGGGGAGCTAAAAATGCTCCGGCCGGGTTGCGTGATAGAGGCAGCCAAACCAGCCAAGAATTTGCAAACTTGTTTAAAGTTGCATAAGCACAGATCGCGCAGCGGTGACGATGGCAGCTGGGGGCTCCCAGGGGCTGGGCGCAGAGGCAGCCTAATTGCGCTGTAACTTTTGTAATTCCCTCTGTAAAAGTTTTTTGTGGTTCCCTGTAGTAGGTATTTGTAAGCCTTCTCCAGAGCCGCGCACAGAGGTCGGCTGGGAGGATCGCACTGGCGGTCTGAGGAGGTGTCTCGGTCTCGGGTGTAACTAGTGACAGGGCTGGATGACAAGAAACTTCTAGCTTGCTTTCCCCTCTCTGTTCTTCTAAGTGCAGTTTGTATCGCATTAAAATAATCTCGTGTTTCAGAAAGCATGGGATGTAGTTGTTCTCCGCCCTGTTTTCTAGATAACAATTAGTTGTATGTTGTTTTAAGGCTGAACACAGGACCATGACTGCTTTTATCCTGGCTGTAATTGTTAACAACTACAACACTGGACAGGTGAGTCCCAACGTCCTTTTTCCTTTCATTCTCCACTACCTTTTCTCTGCGTTGTGCCTTCGCTTTGATAAAAGTGTCCTGGCTTGCATTAAAGCACAACCCTGAACTGGAAAAATGAAATAGAAGATTGCTTTACGTTATTTTTGTGTGGATTAAAAGAAAAATTGACCTGGAGGTGTGACAAACACATTATGTGCCTGGCACCTGGAAGTGGAGGTTAAGGACACAAGGCACTCGACAACTGCCCCTCCAGGCAGCGCGCCGACGTGCTATTAAAGAAATAGTGCCTGGTTCCTGTCAAGTGGAGACTTGATGGCTGTGATAAAGTTCTTGGGAAGGGTATATGGAATGAGCCATAAACCTTGGGGCTCTGACAGGTGCAAGGAGTATTTCCAATGAGGAAAAAACAGGCTTTATGCATTACAGGAAGTATTGCTAAGGCTCAATTATTTAACTAGCTCTAACAGCATGTAGTCGACCTTCCCTTCATCCTCCTTCCAAATGGTATTTTATAACAAAATCAGTATATAACCACTGCATAATTATTTTCTCTTGATTTCCTGTCTGTTTCAGAAATAATCTTCTTTTTTGATGATGAGGTGGGAAGCTGTCATCCAAAATAAATTGCATTGATTTGTGTTTTAGGAAGCTTGCCTTCAAGGAAACCTGATTGCTATTTGCCTGGAGCAGTTAAATGATCCACATCCTCTTCTGCGTCAGTGGGTGGCCATTTGTTTAGGACGTATTTGGCAGAACTTTGACTCAGCAAGGTGGTGTGGTGTGAGAGACAGCGCTCATGAAAAGCTCTACAGTCTCCTCTCGGATCCAATCCCAGAGGTAAAAATCCCATTTTTTAAATAAATGCTGGTTGAATTGTCAGAAATCTGGCAGAGGGCTACAAAAATACTTAAAAAACCCCAGGGCCTTCCAGAGCTTTATGATTGTGTCTGGTGCAAAGGAAGATCTCCTTGCTCTGTCTTCAAGGTGGTGCAAATCCTCCAAGCCCTGCAAGAGAAGTAGCCAAAGAAACGCAGGGGGAGTTCATACGGCCCGAAAGCCCTGGACCCTTGGCACTGGAGTTAGGAAACACCACGGGTTTCGCTTACTTGCGTATCAGAAGCTTGGTAAAAACGTGGTCCCAAAACACACTGGGTGTTGCAAAAAAACCTCTCTAGTCTTTTTGGCCAAGTATGAAAACTGTTCTCCTCCTGGTATGTGTGCAAATGCATCTTTAATTGAATGTGTTTTACCTTTGTGACAAACTCTCCAAGAGAGAAGCGATTCTTGCGGAGAGCCTGGCTATGATTGACAGAGCCTGTCAGACCCCAGTGAAATTACGTCGCATGTGGGAGAAGTAAGCCTGGAGACACACACCATTGCTAGCGTGCAGCGATTAAAGATTAGATTCTCCTTTACATTCAGTCTTTCTGTCCTGCATCCTCCACCTCCTTTCTCTGGCCCCGTTCCCCCATTTTATAAGCAGTATTTGTGCGAAGGTCGGGTTGACAGGCCTTAGGCAGACCTGCACCTCTCGCTGAGGAGCCCGAGCGAGCGTTGCTGCTTTCTGAAGCACGCCCTGCAGTTGCTGATTGCGCCGTATCCCACCGTTTGCGGTCTCTGCCAAGGCAAGCTGTAGGATTACCAAGGCACCTGATCCCTCTGGTCTTTGTGTGGTCTGGCAAAGTTAACCCTGATTTGAGCTGCTCTCTTTTCTCCTTTTCTTTTTTCCATCGTCTTCTTTTTTTTCTGTAAGCCCTTATGTGATGCCTGTAGTTGAGCATTCTTATTGGAGAGATTCACATCCCAACAGTAACTCCCTGTGTACCTTATTCCTGTTAATTAACATTCCAGGCAACGTCAACTGGAAAAGTCACCCATGGGAAGGTCACTGAGTATTCTGGGAAATTAAATATACTCCTGCATGTGTGAATACTTAAAACTCAGTGCTCCGCTGAATCTGTTTTGGTTTTTACTCTCCATGGGCTTCCATTTAGCCCTCACTATTTACCCAATACAGTAGTCCAGGTTTCCAGAGATGCCATTTGTGGGGATAAAAAAAAACCCCACTGGCAAACTTCAGGCTGGAAACAAGAGGAAAATAGTAATGAATGTTTGTCTCTCGCAGGTTCGCTGTGCTGCAGTCTTTGCACTGGGAACATTTGTGGGCAACTCGGCTGAGCGGACCGATCACTCCACCACCATCGATCACAACGTAGCCATGATGTTGGCCCAGCTCATCAACGACGGGAGCCCCATGGTTCGAAAGGTACGGAAAGGCTGGCAGCGCGGAAGTTTGGTGGATTCGTGCTGATGAGTTCGGCACTATGCCTAATCGGAGCGTGCATTATTTAATAGACTTTTCAATGAACTTGACTCATTTGGAAGTATCCGTTTCCTCGAGAAGTCTTTTAACTTCAGTTCCTGCCGAGAAGCACCACGCACACGACGACCCCAGCGAAAACAGCAGCAGCATCGTGCTGCTGTGGCCGGAGGCTCGGCACCGGGCCTTGTGCTGCACGCTCAGGGCGGTCGCACGCGGCAGCGTTCTGGGCTGCTGCTTTAGGCGCTTGCTCTTTTTCAGTGCACGTTGCAACATTTCATTTACTCTGCAATATAGGGAGCCTGCTGACAGCAATAATACGAGTAAAGTGTAGTATGTCATCGTGTCCAGGTGTTGACAAGATTGTTGTTTCTGCTCTTTAACGCTGGACCTCTGATTTAGCTCGTGTATTCCACTAAGCAAACGTCTGAAATAGCCGTTACAATGTCAGATTTTGTGGGAATTTTTATATCCTCTTTTTTTGATTTAAAGAGAATGCGAAGACAGGGATAAGGAAGGAGAGCAATTACAGTGAAGTCTCTTTCAGGTGCACAAAACACTGAGAATTCTTGCTGGGCTACTCTTCTACTAATGCTCTTCTGTTGATTACTGCTTTGACTGCAAAATTTTACATTGCAGGATCTCAGGTTTTAAACGAAACAGTAATGCGTTGCTAGAAACGTGGAGTATCTGGCAGTCTAGGGGAGGAAGAGGAGAGGGAGTAAGAGTGCTGTGGAGAGAGCATGAGAGCTCTGTTCAGTAAAAAGATCTTGCTGCTTTTAGAAGCCACAGGGACGGATGACAGACAAAATAATTCTTCAGGTTTTGGAGAATTACAGTTTCTGACGCGCCATTGTACATCAATAGTACATTAAATAGTTTTTGGCATTCTGGATTGTTCTTGATGGGTGTACTTAGGTGCCCTAATGCTTGTGTTTACTTAACCAGAACATCAATACCCTGACAGTTGTCACCAGCATTGTGAGGATTAATTTTTGTTGTCTCATTCCAGCATTTAATCAGTTTAATTCAAAAGAGAAATGCATGTCACGCTATATGCTCTCCGAGATTCATAAATCTCTCTTTTGGAGATTAGTCCCCTGAACAGAGAACAGCAACCAAAGGCAGCTCTCCACTTCTCCTGTTTGCTGTTTCCAAGTGCCTAGCAAGCGGTACCTAATTGAGGGTCTGAACTTCACCTCCTCTACCCTCCCCACCCCGGTAATTCAGGTTCTCAAGCTGCAGCTATGAGAACGAAGGGACTGATGCTCCCTTGCAGGTAGGCAGCGCCGTTCCCATGTTGGCTGCTGACTCGGCAGGTCAGTCCGAGACTGTGCGGTCAGCGTAGGATTCGAACACCAGGGCTCGTCGTGGAAGAGCTGAGCCGTGTCCCAGGCGCCCGTTGTCAGAATCTGTTTGCTTCAGCTCGGAGCAAATGTAGGACAGGCTGTAGGATGAGAGGCCCGCTCCGTGCGTACGTGTGCAGCACAGGGAGAGGGTCAGGCTGTGCCACGGAGGGCTGAGGACACCGATCCTTGGCACGGCTCGCTGCTGCTCTGCAGGACACGTGCTTCTCGTGGGCGAGAGGGCTGCATGCAGGGGAGCAGAGGGAGCTGGGTGCTAGTGGCCAGTTCAGTACTTTCCATGACACTGCATCAGTTTGGCAATACTGGGCAGAATCAGAGAGTAGTGGGAGCCTGTCAGGTATAAAAGACATGTGAAGAATTAGGTTTGAAAGAGTGCTCTGGCTTTCTTTGGTTCATCCCTGTGAAGTGAAGGGAAAATTATTAGTCTGGCTGGCCACCCAATGAGATCAGCAATAATGACCGTATTGTTCTGTTTCCCTTTGATCCATCGTTTCTGACCTACGTAACCATGAAATACCTCTTTCTTCCGCCTCTTTCCGTAGGAGCTGGTGGTGGCTTTAAGTCACTTGGTGGTTCAGTATGAGAGCAATTTCTGCACCGTCGCCTTGCAGTTCATGGAAGAAGAGAAGAATTACCCTCTCCCTTCTCCAGCTGCCACAGGTAGGTGTTTTGTGTTTGTGTGGGCAGGAAATGTATAGCCTGAAAGCACTTGGGAACTTTTATTTAAGGAGTCTGCCCAACACAATAAAATTCTTGCTGGTGGTGATTTATCAAACAGCACCATTGCTGCAAAGTTGAGTGACGTGGTGGGTAGCTCTAATGTCTGTTTAGCACTATAATAATATATTGCACTGGAGAAATGCATCCTCTGCTCGGTCTCCAACTAAAACACAGCTATAGCTCACTAGCAAGTTGTAGAGACTGAACGCCCTGTGAAACTCAAAGGGTTTCCCTTCAGATCAAGATTGAAGTATGTTTGTCAAGGCAGTACACAGGC